TTAATTGTTGAATTTTGAATTTTCTTACACGAATTTTAGTTTTAATTAATGTTATCAAAGCATAATGGATTTAAATGTCTTTCTGGAATACTTTGAAACTTATTTCAAACTGTTAAGGACTTTAGAATAAAGGAACGAAGTATCTGGAAGTCGCCGGAGAAGACGCAGATGATGAACATAGGAGGAGAGCTGGCTCCCTTTTGAAGGGAGGCGGCTCCTTTTGCAAAGAAGCGGCTCCCCTAAGGGGGGAGCCGGCTCCATTCAAGGGGGAGGCAATTCCCCTTGTGGGGGAGGCAGCTCCTTCCTTTTTTGTTGGTTTTTGGCGAAGTTTTGGCCACTATGTTGAGGTTTTGGGGTTTCAGGTTTAATTAGGAGTTGTAATAGGGGTTTTCAATGATGGCTAAGGTCATATTAAAACTTCATAGGGCATGATAATGCATGATTAATCACATGGAATTAGTATCTTGAACAATATGAAATTCTTAACTAAATTTGCATATTGTTATTGGATGTAGATGATTCAATTTGCTTACCCCTATATTAGTATTTGATTTATGTATGATATGGTTTTAATCATGTCTCAGTGGTATAAAATAAGCATGTCAATTTATATATTTCTATTATGCTTATTATGGATTAATTAATGTTTACATTTGTTATCGATATTATCAATTATTGGATTTGTGGATTATATGCACCAGTATGGGACGGTGGCATATCAGGGACGAATTAACTCAAAACGCTAAATCCTACCTACTTTAATATAAGGGAATGGATTAACTATAAAAGTTAAGTCCTACTTATATTCATGTCAGGTTAACAAACAGTTGAATTACATACTTTGGTTTTGGATGGATTTTAAATATATAATTATGGTACCACGATATGAGCTTGAGTCTCAGAGTCGATGGTTAGGGAGCGTATATGCAGTGGGATGCATAGCTGGCTATGATGGTTAGAGGTATACCCTGTTAGGTCTAAGCACTCATACCCACTTCAGGTGCGTTTTGCATGTTACCTTTTATTCAGGTTAGGACCGGTCTGTAGTCCAGTGAGAGTCCTTTAGTGTGGATATATATATTTATGGACTATATAGTTATTGTTGAGTGGTTTAGGATGTACATGTGTATCTGGTCTTTGTTTAAATTATAGTAGAGTAGAACTTGCTCGTGGGTTTGACCCACTATTATTTTTCTCAGGTGTTCGACAGTTCCAGTCGTAGAGCTTGTTCGTGCTGAACAGAGACAGTCACTCACTCCTCCGACTACGTAGGACTATTACTTATGTTTTAGTTTTGATTTCCTTTTTAGTTCAGTTATTTATTTTTCCAACTGGGATATTATTAGGGGTCCACAGATGGATTCCCGAGTTGTAATAATATTGGAGGTTTTGGCGATATTGGATTTTATAACTTTTAAAGATTATGATTTAGTTTTCATTCAGCTTATTTAATTATTTATTTCTTAAATTCTTTTGTACTCATGCTTGTTTATATACTTAATTGTTTGGTATCCCTCGAATCTGTGCTCGGACTTGATCACCCGTGACTCTAGAATTGAGGGGTATCATACAAATGCTTGTTAATGTAACTCAAGGATGCTCACAAAGGGTGTTCAATTAGGCCTTAGAGAAGCTAATTTTTTATAACAACATATATATAGGGTACAATGGATTATAGTCTTACCCTAAAGAGGAAATCCACATGGCATTACCTACCAATCATTGGCGAGAGAATGTTCTAACATTCTTTTAGTGAAAGGACCACATTGCCCTTGCTACATCTCAATATTATGTCCTCTAGTAAGCATGCAAATTGACAGCTTGTATATTTGTATACACTAGCAATATATATCAAGCTTAACCATTAAATAATGCATAACAAGCTTCATTTTCACACACTAAGACCACAAGACACGTGTCACAAGGATACACATCAATTGCATTGACCAAAATACCCCTATAAGGGACACTACACAGTTTTCTACAACTGCAACTGTAGACACTTGATCAAACTGTGAATAAGAACATTTCAATACAATTAATGTACTATCACAAATAAGTGTATTATGATAGAATACATATGTGAAAAGACTTAATTATCCTTGAAGGACTCTGTAACCAAATATCAACCTCTAAACTACTCTTACAAACCCTAATTGACTGTAACAAGCACTGTCAGCACAATAAAGTTTCCTCAAGCTATCGATCGCAAATGATATATCATGAATGTAAAATGACAATGTTACCCCTGTAAGCCTCTGTAATGAACTTAGCACTCAATAATCAATTTAAACTTACTAAAATGGACTCGTGACAGCTTTTTGACATTTAAAACGGCAAACCCTAAATCAAAGATGGAACCAACAATCTCTCCCTTCTGCTTTTGAATGTCAAAAATCAATTATTGCTTGTATATCACTGAAACACTTAAAATGAAAGCAATGTACCATCAAAACAGTAAAGATAACATACCATAGATGCATAGATCCTTGGTTAAGGTCCATTTCTCCCCCTTTTAAAATTAAAAGTCAAAAGGTGAAAGGACAAACAATGTAAGTAAAGGTTTAGAAAGGGTTAGAAACAACACTGGGAAGATCTCTAAGGGTTGAAAACCTCTGTTGCAACAATGACTTTGTCATGATATCTACAAATTGATCTTCTGTAGGTAGATAGGTGATGTTAATGAGCCCCTGACTTTGTCATGATATCTACAAATTGATCTTCTATAGGTAGATAGGTGATGTTAATGAGCCCCTTTTGTACCTTATCACTGAGAAAGTGGTACTTGATATCAATATACTTGTTCCTGCAGTGCAATGTAGGGTTCTTGCTAATGGCTATAACATTTTGGTTGTCACAATAGATCTTTAGAGGGCTTGAGAAATATATCCCAAGGTCTGAAAGTATGGTCTTCATCCATAATAATTGTAATCCAGACCATGAAGCTGCTATATACTCCGCCTCTGAGGTATAAAAGGACAGTGTATCTTGCTTCTTACTAAGCCAAGACACCATGTTTGTACCAAGAAAGTAATAACAGCCTGAGGTACTTAATTTTTTTGTCAGGTAAAGAACCAACCAAATTCGCATCTGAATAAGTTGTAATTATAGGTGAAGATGCAAGAAATTCCCTCTCCTCTTTTCTCTCTCTAGAATTCTTACACCTCAACCCAAAAAGATCTCCCTCCTTCCCATTCCATATCCTATTTATAGATATTTATCAGATATTTACAAGATATTTTCAAGATATTTATTGATTGCTGGATCTGGGCTTATTCCTCCATAAGCCCTGGTCACCTTTGATGGGCTTCTTCCCGTTCGGCCCATATGGCAGTGTCTTTATATGGGCCGACCCAGCTATTCGAACTGAATGTTGTGTTTGCGAGTCAGATCCGGCCCATGTCGTCCGGGGCCTCCTCAACTGCCCCCATAATTGCCCCTTATTTACTAAGGGGTAATTATTGATGGCGTCTCATCATGATGTTGACGGCTCGAGATAACCACGTGGGGGAGCGGACGGTCAGATCCAGAATCAATGTTCCGGGGCTCGAGGAATTTCTCGCCTTCCCGACGCTTCGGCCCTCGGGCCCCCTCGCCTTTATAATGCTCTAGAATTCCACTTCACTTCCCTTTACCGTCTCCATCATCAGCCAAGTCTCTTTCTTTCTAGAACAGTGCTAAGCTTTTTCTGGTGAAATCCTTCAAGAGTCATTCTTCCAGCGATCTTGCAGTCCTCCGAGGTTAGTTTCGTTCTTTTTACTTTCGGCAGGCTTCCATTTACCCCCTTTTAGATTCTTCTAGCACTTCCACCATGGTTGTAGATCTGGATGTTCTTCGTATGAGACTTAGACTTCCTGACAACATCGAAGTTAGGGTTTGCCCCCAGGATGTTAACATTATGACCGGCGCCGGCCTCCTGCCCGGCGAAGTCTTATTCACGAACCTTCAATTGAATGTTGTTAGGTTCCCTCTGCACCCTTTCTTTAGTTATGTCTTCAATAGATTGGGGATATCCCCTCTGCAGGTCAACCCCAACTTCTTTAGAATCATATCTGTTATGCTCTTGTTGATGCGTGACAGAAATCTGGACCTCGACCTCATAGACCTCCTTCTGTGCTATAAGGTCAGTAAGATCCGTACTAACGAACCCTTCTACCACCTCTACCCGTTCGAGAAGATGTCCATATGTACGGACACAATAAAATCTGAAAAGGGTTGGAGGGATAGCATAGTGGGCATTAGTGGGGCTTGGTCTTCGCCGGCTGCAGAGGATTACCCAATCCCGAGCGCCTTTGGTGTCTGTTCTGTCTCCTTCTATAAGAAATTCAAATCTCATAAACATGACTGCCCCTGCGAAACATGCGTTCCTCGTTTTTGCACTTTCTTATGCCGTTCCTTGGGAATACCTTGTGATGACTTGAGCTATAGTGTTTGCAGGGATAGGAGTAACTACTTGAAGAAATACGTTCTGAACGATATTCCTTCCTACTCAGATCTCCTCACTTCAGACAACCTCTTAGCGCTCTCATCACTCGGCTACAACATGAGCAGACTTCAGATTCCTTCTTTTGGCAGGAAGAAAAACACTCCCCCAGCCACTCCTGCTGCTGGGGTGACCTCCTCTCCAGCGTCAGCTTCTTCCTCAGCCACCATATCTGACACTGCCCCGAGCACAGTGGCTGTTAACCCTGTTGCCAGCGCCCCTGCTGCCAACCAGAACGCGTCCCCCCCAGCTACCATAGCTCGTGCTGCTGCGGGGGGCGGTCGGGATAAAGAACGAGGCAAAAGGCCTCATCCTGATAGTGAAGTCGATCCTGAGGAGGAGCCTCTCATTAGAAGGACCCGGGTCTCCGGGCCAGGTGCTCTCTTGCACCGAGCGGTCAGAGCTCCTGCTCCCTCTGGGCCTGCTGCAGCTGGTGGCTCTGCTTCTGCTTCAGGCCCCTCTTCTATCCCCACCTTACCGCCATGGGCCCCTCGGTACACCCGAACGGTGGGACGTTCGTGAAACCGAACGAGACCATGCTGAAGGATGGCCAGACCGCTATGGCCTACTACAGGAGCATGTGGACTCCGAAGGACCTTGAGGCGGCAAAGGGCCTTTCCCAGAAGGATGTGTTCAGCCGCTTTCCCCAATCTGCTATGGAGGTGACTTTTATTTTCTAACTCATGCATTCTCTCATATTATCTGGTCTTGCCTTCGCCCGACCTGACTATTGGCTTAACCGTTTTTAATGTGCACCTATGCAGACATTGTTCGGAATGATGGCCATGCAGAAGCAGGTGGAGATGGGGAACGCCAGGGCCCGCAAGTTTTTTGACAGCCTGGAGGTGGCTAATAAAGAAAACGACCTCCTCGCCATGAAGAATACCGAGGTACTGGCTCGGCTTGACAAAACCGAGCAAGAGAGAGATGTCCTGAAGAAGGAGAATGATTCCCTTCAGGATGAGAAGGACGCCCTCCAGCTTGAGAAGAGCGTCTGGCAGACCGAGCGGGAATCGATTAGAGAAGAGAAGGCAGAACTCCAGCGCCTTCTAGCTGATGAACAGTCTGCTCGGATGGCTTTTGAAAAAAGAGCTCTGGACGAGCGTACCGCTCTGATCGACGCAATCAGCAGAGTGGGTGGTGGGATGCTGGCCCTTCACGCTCGGTTCTCAAGGGTCGGTGCTCTTAGGTATGCTCAAGGATTCCGGGAGGGTTTCGCCGACCGGGTTCCGGATGAGGGACAGACCAGCTCCACTCCGGATGAGGTAGACAAGGACCTGGGGATCGAACCTCTGGGGGTCTATGTCGACCCAGAACCCACCGAAGCGGAGCGTATATTTGATGAGTGCCAGGACATTGCTTCCTCCAGGATCATCACAGCTCCTCCTACCGCTCTGCCACTGACCGCTCCTCAATCGTCAACCGTGGTTCCTTCCATAGCCACTGCTGACGCTGAACCCCAGCCGAACGATTCAGTCATTCACCTTGATTCCCCACCTCATGAAGGTGAGACGGCTGTTGGGGCCGAGGAGGCGAGTCGGCACGACCAGGATGCTGTTGGTACTGAAGCGTCTGGCTAGGGCTCCTTTGAATTCTTCCATTCCATATCTTTTTGTAATGATGGACATCTCTCTTTTGTAAACTCAATGCTCAATATTAATGAAACGACAGAACTCTTTTTTCCCTGTGTGTTGTGCTCTATTCAACTTATCTTCAATACATACATATCTCTTCTCTCTTTTTCTTTTATATTAGCTTTGCCGTGTGTTTGTTTATGGCAAGTGCCTGGCGCTCGGCTAGGATGCCACTTGCCACTTGGCTTTAATTTTTTAGCAAGTGTCTGGCGTTCGGCTTATAGTGCCAGCTGCCACTTATCTTGCTTAAGTGCCTGGCGCTCGGCTAGAATGCCACTTGCCACTTGGCTTTAAGTTTTTAGCAAGTGTCTGGCGTTCGGCTTATAGTGCCAGCTGCCACTTATCTTGCTTAAGTGCCTGGCGCTCGGCTAGAATGCCACTTGCCACTTGCCTTTAAGTTTTTAGCAAGTGTCTGGCGTTCGGCTTATAGTGCCAGCTGCCACTTATCTTGCTTAAGTGCCTGGCGCTCGGCTAGAATGCCACTTGCCACTTGGCTTTAAGTTTTTAGCAAGTGTCTGGCGTTCGGCTTATAGTGCCAGCTGCCACTTATCTTGCTTAAGTGCCTGGCGCTCGGCTAGAATGCCACTTACCACTTGGCTTTAAGTTTTTAGCAAGTGTCTGGCGTTCGGCTTATAGTGCCAGCTGCCACTTATCTTGCTTAAGTGCCTGGCGCTCGGCTAGAATGCCACTTGCCACTTGGCTTTAAGTTTTCAGCAAGTGTCTGGCGTTCGGCTTATAGTGCCAGCTGCCACTTATCTTGCTCAAGTGCCTGGCGCTCGGCTAGAATGCCACTTGCCACTTGGCTTTAAGTTTTTATAGTAGACCGTTGGAAAAGAAAATTCTTTTTTTGTAAATTTCAGTAACTTGCTCATTCATATGTATTTGATTGACAACAAACAACATCCAATTGAAGCCGGAACTTAGCTTTTATTGGTAGTACCTCTTCAGAGACGTGGCGTTCCAAGGCTTGCTGACCAGCCTTCCCGCCATGGTTTCCAACGTATATGCCCCCTTGCCAATGACTTCTGCAATTCTGTATGGGCCTTCCCAGGGTGGCATCATTTTTTTGACCATCCCCACCTTTCTTTTCAGAACCAGATTGCCAGGGGCAAAATCCCTGTGTTTTACTCTCTTGTTGTGACTATTCGCCAGCACTTGCTGATACGATGCTAGCCTTATAGCCGCTGCGTCCCTTCTTTCGTCTATCATATCGAGGTTCAATCTTAACATCTTGTCGTTCTGATCTCGACTCCATGCTAAGCTTCTGATAGTGGGGACTAAATGCTCAACCGGTATAACTGCCTCGGTGCCATACGCCATTGCGAACGGGCTCTCCCCAGTCGGCCGCCTTGGGGTGGTTCTGTAAGCCCATAGAACGTTCGGGAGTTCATCCAACCACTTCCCCTTATGATCTTCCAGCTTCTTCTTAATGCAGGCGAAAATGGTTCTGTTTGTGATTTCTGCTTGTCCGTTGGCCTGAGGATGACTTACTGCAGCCAACTTCTGGTTGATTCCATACTCCTCCAGCAGCTTTCTTACTTGCCTGCTGTCGAGGTTTGTGCCATTGTCCATGACTATTGATCTGGGAACACCGAAACGGCAGATAATATTGTTCCAAATAAATCGTCTCACATGAGTCTGAGTCACGCTAGGATACGGTTCTGCCTCCACCCATTTAGTGAAGTAATCCGTGGCCAGTAACACATACTTGTTCTGAGCTCTTGCAGTTGGCAGAGGACCGACCACATCCATCCCCCATTGCGCGAAAGGCCATGGCGAGGCCATTACGTGCAAGTCCTCAGGTGGTTGGTGGATCAATGGTCCATATCGTTGGCATTTATCGCACCTTCGAGAGAACTCTTCCGCATCTCTTGACATGTTTGGCCAGAAATACCCTTGTGTCATTGCTTTATGCGCTAACGATCGCCCCCCAGAATGATTGCCACACACACCCTCATGGATAGCTCGCAATACCTGCTGCGACTCCGCGGGGGTGACGCATTTCAAGTATGGGCCAGAGTAGGACCTTCTGTACAGCTGGTTCCGCACGATGGCGTACTTGGCAGCATTCTTTTTGAGTCTCCTAGCTTCATCCCTTTGCATAGGCAAAACTCCATCTCGAATATAGGTAATGATGGGGTCAATCCAACTCGGTTCATTCGGTATGATGTTGACTTGCCAAGGGTCAGAGTCCAACGGTTCTTCGAAAATAGAGGGCTGGGTCACTCTTCCTACTGGAATCACCCTCGCCAATGTTTCACCGCAACTCGAAGCACTGCATGCTAAACGGTCTGCATCTGCATTCTGTTCCCTCGGGAGCTGTATGAATTCGATATTTGCAAAGTCCTTGGCTCTATGCAGAACGGCAGAACGATATGCCCCCATCGTGTCATCCTTGGTCGCGTACTCACCATTTACCTGTCGAACAATCAGCTGCGAGTCACTACACACTGTCAAACTTTTGATCTGTAGCTCTCTGGCCAACTTTAATCCATTTAGCAACGCCTCGTATTCCGCTTCATTATTGGTGGCTCGGAATTCAAGTCTGAGTGCTTGACTCAAGGAAGTACCCTCTGGTGTTTGCAGTTTGATCCCAATCCCAGCCCCCATCTGGTTAGAGGAGCCATCCACAAAAAGTTTCCAAGAGCCGCATCTAAGGTCCTCTTCCGTATCTTCGGTGTCACATTCTAGTAGGAAATCGGCTACCGCTTGCCCCTTAACAGCTGTTCTCGGCTCATACGTTATGTCAAATGAACTCAACTCTATGGCCCACTTTGTCATTCTGCCCGAGAGCTCTGGCTTGTGCATAAGCGTTCTGATTGGGAAAGTTGTTAGAACAGCTATGGGGTGGGATTCGAAATAATGCCTCAACTTTCTTTTTGCATTTACAAGGGCAAGTACCACCCGTTCGGCCTTTGAGTATCTTATTTCTGCCTCCGTCTGTGTTTTGCTTACATAAAATACCGGGTATTGCACCCCTTCCTTGCAACGAATCAGAACGGCACTCGTCGCGACACCAGATACTCCAAGATATAGAAATAACTTTTCTTCCGGTTCTGGGGCTGACAGGACTGGTGGATTCTGCATATATTCCTTCAAATGAGTCAATGCTTGTCGTTGCTCATCCCCCCAGACCTGCCTTCCATGGTTCCGAATCGTGTCAAAGAATGGTTTGCAGTGATCTGACAATTTTGAAATAAATCGACTTAATGCAGCTACTCGTCCTGTGAGGGCTTGCACCTCTCTGATCGTCTTTGGCTCGGCATTCTTAATCAAAGCCTCTGCTTGAGCGGGGCTAACTTCGATGCCCCTGCGGTTGACCACGTGTCCCAGAAACTGTCCGGAACTCACACCGAACGAGCACTTGGTCGGATTGAGCCTCATCCCATATCGCTTTAGTACATCAAATACATCTTGCAGATGCTTCAGATGATCATCCTTTTTCCTACTCTTTACCACCATATCATCAATATAGGCTTCCACAATCTTACCCATTTGATTCTTAAAAACTTTGCTAACAAGTCTTTGATAAGTTGCTCCCGCATTCTTTAGCCCGAAAGGCATAACTTTGTAGCAGTATGTTCCTCGCTCGGTGACAAAAGAAGTTTTTTCTTCATCTGCGGGGTCCATAGGAATCTGATTATAACCTGAATATGCGTCCAGAAAGGTTAAACGCTCATACCCAGTGGTGGCATCCACCATTTGATCAATCTTAGGCAACGGGAAGCTGTCCTTCGGACAGGCTTTGTTCAAATTGGTGAAATCAATGCATACTCGCCATTTCCCATTCTTCTTCTGCACAACAACGACGTTGGACAACCACTCAGGGTAGTGCACCTCTCTGATAAATCCCGCATCAAGCAGCCTATCGACTTCCTCCGCTATGATCTGATTACGTTCTGGAGCAAATCTTCGCTGCTTCTGTTTCACTGGTTTGAAATTGGGATTGACATTCAGGGAATGACAGGATACGGAGGGACTAATTCCAGGCATGTCTAGGTGACTCCATGCAAACACGTCGGCATTGCGGGACAAGAAATCCACTAGCTCTTGCTGCTCTTCTCTGGTCAGTCTTATACCTACTCTGGTAGTTCGTTCTGGCCTGGACTGATCGATCTGCACATCCAGAAGGGGCTCCTCGGTCAATTCGACTGACTCCTCCACCCTATTATGCTCGAGCGGAGGCTCCTGTAATTGCTATCTGGGGCTTGCCGAACGGACGGGCGCCTTTCCTTTCCCAGCATGCTTTAGTGTGACGGAATAACACTCCTTGGCTGCGACCTGATCCCCCCGAATGTCTATCACTTTATCTCCATCGGGCCCGAGGCACCTCATGACCTGATGCAGAGTTGAGGGTACACCTCGGACTCTGTGAATCCATCCTCTTCCCATCAGGAGATTATACGAGGGGTGAATTTCCACAACCACAAAAGTTTCCATAAGAGCTCGTTCTGCAGCTTGAACTTCCACTTCCACCATCCCGACGGGTTCCACCCTCTTCCCATCTAACCCTAACAAGGGATTTCCGGTGGGCTTGAGTCTCTCTGGTTTAATGTCGAGCCTGTCAAATGTGTCCCTCGGCATGACATTCGCACTGCTCCCAGGATCGATCAGAACTCTGCGCACCAAGCAATCTGCCACTGTCAAACTGACTACCAACGGGTCGTCATGAAGCAGTTGAACACGCTGCAGGTCTGTCCAGTCGAACTTTATCTGCATCGACGGGCTCTGCTGGTGTAGAGTAGTCACATTGCCGACCCTTTTCTTCATCTGCGCCTGCCGCAGGCGCACCCGGAGCAGCTCATCTGACTCTTCACTAGGCTCGGGTCGACCATGGATAGCATTGATTATACGAACTGGTTGTGAATTGTGGGAGCTTTGTTTATGACTCCTTTTTACTTGTTCCACCGGTCGATTCTGCTCCATCGCCGAACCTTGAACATAACTCGTGAACTCCCCTATAGCTATCAACATCTCCACTTGCCTCCTCAGGTTCCTGCATTCGTTAGTCTGATGACCGAAATCAGAATGAAAAGCACAATGTTTAGTTTGATCCCTCTGTTCGAGGGGTTGCCTAATTGGCAGTGGTGGATGAAACTTGTCTTTGTTCTCCTGATACAGCCTCGCCAGAGTGACCTTCAGCGGAGTAATCAACTCTTCCTCCCTGGACCTTTTTTCTGCCTTCCAAGAGGTCTGACGTTGTGGCTGAGCCTGCTTCTGCCTGATCTTTGCCTTGGACTTTTCCTCGGTCGACACAAGCGACGTTGTCCGAGCATTAGCTGCCTCCTCTTCTTCTAGGCGCACAAAGCCATCGGCTCTCTCATTGAGTTCATCCATAGTAGTCGGCGTGTTCACTACCAGACTGGTGTGAAACGGAGTTCCGCGTGTCATGGCTAACTTGAAGGCTTGAACTGCCGTAGAAGGGTGGCATTCGATCACCATACTCTTAGTGAGATTAAACCTGGTAAGAAAGGCCTGGAGACGTTCATCCTTGTGCTGCCTCATCGTGAATAGGCTCGAGATGTCCTTCGGCGGGCGTTTGTTCCCATAGTACTGGCTTATGAACCGATCGCACAGGTCTCTGAAACTACCAATGGAGCTCCTAGGCAAGTTTTTGAACCAGCTGAGCGCCGGTCCGGCAAGGCTTGTAGGGAAACATTTGCACATTAAAGAGTCGTTTTCCGTATTCAGGGCCATTTTCAACTGGATATGATACACATGATCGATCGGATCGGTCGTTCCGTCGAACAGAATAAAGACTGGCATAGCAAACTTCCTTGGATGCGGGGCATTCAAGATCTCGTCGGTGAATGGTGAATCCACCGTCCGAGCTGCGGATCGGAGAGCTTCATTCTCTCTCTGGAGTCCAGCGGTAGCTCTGTGAGTTACGGTTCTGCCCTCCGAACCGTGATGAGTGATAGTAACCATGGAGGGCCGGTAAGACGGATCGAACGACCGCTCCTCTATGAACTCTCTTTGCCAAGGAGACGCTATTCGACGGCGATCAGCCTCCATCACTTCCTCTCGGTCGAACCTTTCCCGCTGCGGATCAACGTGAGTCGATCCTTCGTGATCTTCAACTCGACGAACATTTGGCGGCAAATTGTCCATCATCCTTTAATCACGGTGGTGAGCTGACTGATTGTTCTCGTCCTGTTCGCCTTGATGCGCGATATTAGATTGAACACCTCCTTCTCCGACTGGAAGTGGATGCGAAACCGCAGGTATTTGCCGATGTTGCAGTCCAGCTTTCAATTCTGCATTCTCTTTTTTGAGAGCTTCAATCAAGTTCATCAACTCCTCAAGCTTTGTTTGCTGGACAGCCTCCATCGGATTGGATCTTTCACCTATCATTATTCCCGAACGGAGTAAAGGCATTAATCTCAAGTTCGCGAGTAGATCCGAGCTTCGTGAGTAAGAATTTTTAGATCTGGCTTCTAATTCTCCGAATTATGCTCACTATTTACAAGATCTGAATTGTTTGAACTCTAAATCCGTCAGATCCTGCCACAATCGAACAACTCGTTGTTGCGTAGATCTGAAGTCACTCCTGCCAAAGCTTCAAGAATTGTAATTCCTCCAGAGTAGGTCACAATCGCTCAGATCTGGATTCAAATCCCAAAGATCGAGTCTCGATCAACCGAATTGGTTTGAATCCATTCGATATTCCTCATTGATCAACCAAACTTTTATGCGTTTCCCACAGACGGCGCCAATTGAAGATGCAAGAAATTCCCTCTCCTCTTTTCTCTCTCTAGAATTCTTACACCTCAACCCAAAAAGATCTCCCTCCTTCCCATTCCATATCCTATTTATAGATATTTATCAGATATTTACAAGATATTTTCAAGATATTTACTGATTGCTGGATCTGGGCTTATTCCTCCATAAGCCCTGGTCACCTTTGATGGGCTTCTTCCCGTTCGGCCCATATGGCAGTGTCTTTATATGGGCCGACCCAGCTATTCGAACTGAATGTTGTGTTTGCGAGTCAGATCCGGCCCATGTCGTACGGGGCCTCCTCAATAGGCAATGAAGGTGAGTGAAGATAGTGAAATCCATATGAGAGTGTTCCCTTGTCATATCTAATGATCCTTTTGGTAGCTTAAAGGTGAGAGTCCCTTGGATTGCTTTCAAATCTTGCTACTAACCCCACTGAATACATTTTATCAGGCCTTAAAGCTGTGAGATACAAGCTTCCAATTATAGACTTGTAGAGAGTTGAATGAATAGATTATGTGGTGCACTCAAGAAAGAGTTTTGTGTTAGGGCACAACGGTGTAGACACAACCTTGCTCTCATCCATGTTGAACTTCTTGAGCAATTCAGTAGCATATTTCTCCTGAGAAATGAAGATAGCAGTGGAAGATTGGTATATTTGAAGGCCCAAAAAATATCTCAAGGAGCCTAGCAAAGACATTGCAAATCTTGTCTTCATGAGATGTGCAAATTCCAAGGTCAAAAAAGTATTTGAGCTACAGAACGTGATATCATCAACATATATTTGGAGAATTAAGAAGTGATCTTTAAAGGAACTCACATACAAAATGGTGTCAACCTTTCCTCCTAGAAAACCTTGTTGAATTAGAAAATGGTGAAAATTCTCATACAAAGCTCTAGGTGCTTGTTTAAGTCCATACAAGGCCTTAGTTTGTAAAAATAGGAGGGATTGTTTGAATCTTCAAAACCTCAGGTATTGTGCGTGAATAATGTGTACAACTGTTACACTTAATTTTAGGAGAAAATCATGTAAATGTATTATCTCTCTCTAGAGCTCAACCAAGGATTCCATCCACCACCTCCGTCTGGCCAGTACCCACCACCTCATACCATTAATTAAGCACTAACTAGCTAGACAAAGAGACAACTACATCATTTACACACTTGAGTTAATTAATACGTTGTATCTGAGGTAAATTTTTAGTTGCAGTGATATACACGGTCCTCCAATTAATTCGAAGGATATATCACCACTTTTTTTTAATTTCACCTAATAAATGCATAAATGAGGATAACATGTAGTGTATTCAGTTTTGATGGAATATATATATTTGCAGTAGTAACATTGTCCAATGACTACTTAGAGTAGTCTAGAATGATAACCCAATTAATTTGGAAATATCATGAAATTATATTTTCTTTTGTTGAAAAAGCATGACATTATTCATCTTATGCATGGATCATGATCTAGATCGATTTAATTTCTTGGCATGTTTTTTAATCATTGGATTCTTCCACTTACTGTTTGTTAGATTGTTCTTACTGGGCTTTGTCTCACCCACCATTTTTTCAGGTACCAGAGATCATCCACGGGACTCGGAAGTTGATGATTTATTCTTTTTGTTATTGGAAGTTATTTCCCATTTTTGTATCTAAATGTTTGATAAATTGTTGCTATGATATTTTCCTTTGAGGAATTGATGTAATTGAGGACGGAATCGTATCATGTATATAAGTTTTGTTTTGTAAAGAATTTTGGGTGATATAAACGCGTTCTGCTGTGTTACGGGTTTCGGAGGTGTGGCCTGCGAAGCAGGATAGGAAATCGGCTGGGTTGTGAACTGATATTTGAAGAAAATAGCTAGTTAGCTAGGATCTCCTGTAAATATTATATATTATTGATGAGTAACAGCTACAATGGATGACTTTAAAGAATCAAATAATTAAGTATGAGTATAATGAGGATCGAGTACAGTAGCTAGCTAGCTAGCTTGGGTAAGTTGGTTATTGGTTGTCTAAGTTGGTAGGTAGGTAGGTAGCTAACTAGCTAAGAGAATTTGCATTCAGGAGGGATCTTGGGAAATCTGTTCCTGTCAGTGCAGTAATTGTATATCATGTAGTTCTTCTGCACCCATCTCAACTTCTTTCGGCTGGCAGAGTCCAACTGTTGTGTGAGCCAGACACGGGCATGACTGGTAGTATTTGAAGATGATAAAAAGGACGTTGAAGTTGTGGTGCAAGAAGATTGTCCTAAAAAATTGACAATGCAAGCATCGGCAGTGAAGTTGCGAAATGAAGCAAAGAAGGGAGCTAGAGTCCAGTTAGTCTTGACACGGCCGCCTCTTGTAGCCCAGTCATCAGCGTTCCATAGACTAGCATATATCCGCATTGGCTGCTTCTTTGGGAATGGAACACCAACTTTCTCAGCATTCTTAAACTCTCTTATGGGTGTTCCATCTACATAGAAACTGCATGCGCGTACGCACCATCAAATCAAATCATATATATATATATATATATATAATTTTTTTATATATTAAAATAATTGATCAGTAGTTTAAGCTATCTACGTACTTGATTAATAAAATATAGTATATATTTATTTACATACATAATGCGTTGTGGGTTCCAAATGAGGGAATAGGTGTGGAAATCCGCGGTGGGATCGAACCATAAGAAGAACTGCTGCTCTCTGTTACCCTTGCCTTGGCTGAACACATTGGTGTGAAGAGTGTAAGGATCACCACTTAAATTCCCCAAGAATTCAAAATCTATCTCATCATGCTTTGACCCTTCTGATGAGAACTGCATGCATGCCAAATGAGTAAGTACTATTATATCATGAAAGTCAATATTATATTATACTCCATTCTCCATATAACTCTGTTATATTGTTACGACAATAATTAAATAAAGTGATCATCATCAACTGGGGGAGCTGAGTTGGTGCTTATTACTGAAATATTTACTCACGTAGTAGGTAGTCACAGTTCCAGCTGAGTTTCCAGGGACAAGCTTGAGCTGCATGTCAATCTTTCCAAATAGATACTTCTTTCTGGATTGGAAGCCTGATCCAGTGATATTGTCAAGCGAGACGGTAAGAAGTTCACCGTCATTCAGTATCTTAGCACGTTGATCGCCCCATGTAATGATAAAATTCTGGTGAAAGGTGCCCCTGAACATACATATATATATATATATATATATATATATAAAGTTACAACACACATCATTATATGTATGTATGTACGTGGAGTAGTTTTTGGAATTAATTACTTAAAACAGGATTTGTATGCAATTAAGTTATAAATGGACGTCATGTATACCGTATTTCTTTTTTGGAGTCATTGGGAGATGTGTACTCCAAGTTCTGGCGTCCCACTACTTTGGACCTTTTGGTTTTGTTTTGAGCGATGAAGATGTCCAACTGTCAACAAATTAATTCACTTCCATCGTGATGTATCAACAATCAATAAAATTATAAAAGGACAACAATATTTACTCGTATACCATCCCACAATAGAAGTCTATTTATAAAAATTAGAGTTTTTAATGAGTTTTTCTCTTTTAAAATTATCAAATTATTTTTTCTAATTTAAATATATAGTTACAAAATTTGAAAATTTTTAAAACATAAAAGATAATGATAAAAATATAAAGAAAATATGTTTTTTTAAAAAGAATAACTAATTTGAAATATATAAAAATAAAATAATGAATTGTTAATATGAGATGGAGAATAATGAATTATTAATATGGGACAAAGAGTGTATATATATATATATAAAAATAAAGAGACAGAGAAAGTACATTAGAGAGAAAAAGTAGGACAGTGAGGCATAGGAAAGTCAAGACACGGCTGCAGCGAGGGAGGTAGCGGGAGCGAACAACGTGGTGGTGGGCGTTCCTTGACAACGGCAGACCCATTAATATTAATATTAATATGATTATGATTGCAGGTTGAGGCTGAGGCTGATTGTGTCGTCGTCTTCGCCATCATATTAATTGATTAATTTTTTTCTCTCTCTGGCTTCAATACCCATCTCTCAGAATCTCTCTCTCTAAAAAGAAGGTTAGCTCTTAATTTAGTCCCAACCACTTCCCGATTTCGTCTCCTGCTCACGCGGCCTTTCTACGTTGAAACGCAAATGTAGATCACACTACAAATTATTAATTTCTATTTGCTTTTACCCGGCCGCACATGCACTAAAACTGGTCAACCTTTTTTTAATGCTTAATATACATAATATTTAATAAGATAAATTACATTGACACGCTGAAGTTTGAGTCAATCTCACTCAAATATAAATCAATGACTTTTTAACCATCACAGTCCTGTATTTAATTTAATCATTTAATTCATTAAGCTTCACCGTCATATTGAGAACATCAACACCGAAAGCTTGTTCTTGCTTCATATTGGTTCACTCTATACCATTCCTCTAATATCCTACTCTCTTCACAAACCCACAATCCAAAATCCCTCAATACCCCCAACCCAAATTTCAGAACTTTCGCACAATACGTTGATGTACATACACATGTTTTTGGATTGTGGGTTTGTGAAGAGAGTAGGATATATATTAGTGTGTGTTGTAAGCGATAGATTATATCTCCAAAATGAATGGAAAAGAGAACTGTTGAAAAATTTTAAGTTGGAACAATTATCGTCACATTTACTTGAAGCACATGATTTCTACACCCATAGCCACCGTCTCTCTCCGGTGACCACCCACTCGATAACACGACACGAGTCAAATCGATTTAGGTTGATCTTAAATAGATTTGGATCATAAACAGGTCAACACGATTAATACGTTTAGTTAATTGTGTTGTGTTTAGGTTGAGAATTCAACCGTTTATTTAAGTTCCAAAATAACTATCTAAACTTGTATCTTAGAACTTATTCTATTGTAAATGACAGATTATTTACTAATTTGGTTGAACTGAAACTTATATTTTTTAGTATTTATTGTTTGATTGAGTATTATTAATAATTTAAATAAAATAATATTTTTCTTTAATAAATAGGTCATTAAACGGGTTACACGTGTAACCCATTTAATAAATAAGTCGAGTTAGTATTGAGGATTCTTGATACGATTATTAAGGGGGTCATGTTTGGATTGAATTGTTTAGTATAATACCCTTAGGTTGACACTAGGATTGCAAATGAACCGAGCGTCGAGCCGAGCTTCACCTTACTCGGGCTCGGCTGAGCCTGGTCAAACCAGGCTCGAGCCCGGCTCACCAAAATTTCAGCAACCAACGAAAGTGGAAGTGACGCTGTGTTAAAACTTGAAAGGGAAGTGCTACTGCGTTGAAAGAGATGTTGGGGTCGTACAAAATTAGGGTTTCTCACAAATGTAAGAAATTGTTTAAGTAATCCAACGACTGATACCAAGATACACATACGATAAAATTGGGCCTAAGGTTAAGTGGAGTTGGGCTTATGAACATGTTTGAGTTTGGGCTTATAAAAAATAAATAAGGTGGGTCTATGAAAGGTGTGTGAGTTTGGATTGAATTTATATTAAATGTATATAATATAATAAAATAAATCTTACTAAACGAACTTGTTCACGAGCCTAACGAGTCAAGCTCAACATTGTTTAAGCTCTGCTCGTTTTCTAAACGAGTCTAAAAAATGTGTTCAACCTCGGCTCGTTTACTTCACGAACGAGTCCGAGTTGAGCTTTTAAAGAGCCGAGCCCGAGCTGTTCATGAACAACTCAATTCATTTGCAGCCCTAGTTAACACGACACGATTATAACCCGCGAACATGAATTGTCACCCCTAGTTATGGGGTGGATCTGGTGATGTTTGCCGCCTTTCACTTTTTATTTCCCAACCCCTAGCCCTAAAATTAAAATGTAATTACTTAAATTAAATTAATTTATAGGGTTAATTACAATGAGACCCCCTGATGTTTATTGTATTGACAGTCATGTATAAGTTAGGCCTTTTTTGAATAATGACACCCCCTCAAGTTTGAAAAAGTTAACAAATACACCCCAATGGTCACTTCCAACAGCTGACGTGTAGTGAACTGACATTGTTGCCCTTCGACTTATAAATTGACCAATTTTAATAATGAAATTACCTTTCTACCCTTGTATAATATTTATATAAATAAAAAATAAAAAATCCAATTTCAAACTTATTTCTATCTTTCATTCCAATATCATTTATTACAAGTCATACAGTGGGCTACTCCATCACCACCGTGAAGCTCTCTCACCCAAAATCACCACTTTAATTCATCAAAACCCAAATCATCAACACAAACACACACACATATATATCCCAAATCTTCAACATACATACATATAATGAATGGTGGCCACTGCCGCCAGCACTGACTCCTCCACTATGAAGCCCTCTCACCCAAAATCACCGCCACTTCAGTTGTTGAAAACCCAAATCTTCAACACACACACACATATATATACCATCACTTTTAAACACCCAAATATTCAACAGACATACATATATATATATATATATATATATATATATATATACACACACATATATCTCCAAGATTGAAATGGTGGCCATGGCGGCGACGCCGACTCCACCACATCCTTCCCCCCTAAGCTTGAGAAGGATTCGAAGAAGCACATGGTTATCATAGGGATAAGCCCCATCTCCGTCTTCGGCAACAACGTTGATGCCGCGGCCAGATCTGAGGGTTCAACGACGACGACTTTCTTAGTGGTGATGGCGGCAACGACGGTAAGGGATTTAGGGCAGAGAGGTCTAAGGATTTCGTGGTGGGTTTGAGAGAGAGGTCGTGGGTTTGGTGGTTGCTTTATTAGGATTAGGGTTTGAGAGGCCATGGTTGTTATTCTTCGCCTCTGTTTTTTTCTGTTGTGGTGGATCGACGGTTGTGGTGGTGGTCGAGGACCGGCGGCTGTGGTTGTCTATGTTCAGAATATACGTATTCATATATATATATATATATATATATATATATTATATCAATTACTGTTAGAGATAGAAAATATAGAAAGAGAGACTTGGGTTAGGTTTCTGATGGAGAAGGTGAGAGGTTAGAGAGGGACAGTGCCAAGGGTAAAAATGTCATTTAGGATTTTTGATATTTAACAATTTAAATTAATAAAATATTGAAGGGCAATCTTGACTTTTCACATCTTCTAAGGGGCTGTTTGGATTCAATTTCTGACAAGGGGTGTCATTGTTCAAAAAAAGCCTAACTTATATATGATTGTCAATACCACAAACCTCAGGGGGTGTCATTGTAATTAACCCTAATTTATATAATATTTATTAATCCATTATTCATTTGTTTTTATTGAAATTGTATATATATGTGTGTGTATATATATTTATTTTGTGACGGTGGAAGTTATGGTGGTAGAAGTGGAGATATATATATATATATATATATAGAGAGAGAGAGAGAGATAGCGAGCGAGAGAGAGAGAGAAGAGAAGGTGGGCAATTATGAGGAGAGATGAGGAAAAGAAGGTGAGGGTTAATTTGGTCCAACAAAAAATGACTTGGAAAGGTAACTTTATCAGCTTGAAGGGTGTCATAATTTAAAAAGAGGTTAACTTATATATGATTGCAATTAGGGCAAATCTCAGAGGGTATGAGTGTAATTTATCCAAATTATAATATACATTTATAATTAAAAACTACCAAATATCATTACAAAAATGATAAAACTGTCTTATCATTCCCCTCCACACTTCATCAAAGTTAGGGGTCGTCATTGTTCAAAAAGAGCCTAATTTAATTGTAATTAAAACAAATTTCAAGAAATGTGAATATAATTTATTCAAATTATATATATATATATATATATATATATATATATATATAAATGAAACATAATCATTAAAAACTACCAAATATCATTATTATTATTATTATTTTAATTTTTTTTTTTAAAAAAAAAAAAAAAAAATCCTCAGACCTTGAATTTCGACTCTCATCAAATATTAATATAAATGAGATTTCATGATGTGGATACTTCATAAATTTCTTTCGTCACGACAACCGATAATTCCTGG